AAGAAGAAAATGAAGATTGAAGTTTTATTTTGTTTTGGTTGTTTAAAAACTTTTTATTTGTTTTGTGGTTTGGGAACTTTGTAGGATGATTAAGTAGGAATTTGTTTTTATCACTTGTGGTTGCTCTTATTTTTCAAATTGAGGCTAGGAAGCATGCAAGAGTCAAGAGTCTCAAAATTCAAGGCTAGAGTGAGGGTCGGTTCTAGATGAGAGTATGCAATTTCAAGTTTAGGATCGAGTCCGTTAGGAATAAGGGTGACAAAATGTGTTATTTACTGAAGAAATCAAAGAAGAGTCGCTGAATAGTCATATTCCAGCAGATTAGCAAAGGATCAAAAGCAAAACATCTTTTCCACTCAGCGCTCTACTCGCCGAGTGCACATATTGGACTCGACGAGTCTATCTGCAATATCACGATTTTCTGCTTGGAGTCAATTTACTCGCCGATTTTCCGTTCTACTCGACGAGTCACTCAAGATTCTACTCTCATGATTCGGATTTTGGGCACATTCGCTGCAGTTTTTACTCATACTATCATGAAGATTAATTTCTGGAGATTTCTGAGAGCTTTTTCCTTAATAATTGGAGCTATTTATATGTTTTACCACACGAGATTCGACACCCAAGACATGGATGAGATGTTCCCATGTCTAAAGTCAATTGAAGATGGAGCTTAAAGAAGATCAACCTCGCCACTACTATCCCAGGGGAGTTTGTTCCAATTCCCTCTTTACTTTATCGTTTTTTTATGCATAACATGCAATGGGGACATTGCATAAATTAAGTGTGGGGTAGCGGGTTGGTTACATTAGTTATAATTTTAGTTTAAATTGAAATTTTCGAAAATTTTGCATAAAAATTACTAGGATCTAATTTAGAAAATTTTGGTAAAAAGCAATTAGGAATCATGCTAAGTGTTATGTTTGACGATTGCATGCATACCCAAATGTTTAGTTGAGCCTATACACGTTATAGTGCATTTGTGGCCCCCTTTATTCTAGTGAAATTATGGGACAAAAACATAACCTCACTTAGTTTGATGGATGCAATAAGTTTAGCATCGTGTACCAGAAATGTATCTTGGAAAATTTTTATCTTTAATCAATAAAGGTTGAAGTTGAGCGCCCCTGCTTAAGCATGTAGGGTTTTGAGTGAAAGAAAAAAAAGTGAGTTACATGTAAAAAAAGAGAGAATTACAAGAAAAGTTTGAAGAATTTTTGGAGTACAAAGTATGAAGATCAAAGATCAAAAATTCTGAAGAAATTCCAAAAAGTTGAAGATACCCAAAAATCAAAGAAAATCAAAAAGGTGGCAAATTTGAAGAATTCAAAGAAATCAAAGTTCAAATTATCAAGAAGGTGAAGAATTTCAAAAAGCTCCATAGTGGTATCGAAAATTTATAATTTTTAGATTATGTATGCTCGGGTTGCTCAACCAAAAACACCTTGAGACTAGGAGGTTTTCTGTGGATGGATTCGGAGGGATGCATAAAATGAGCATTGTTCAAAAGAAGTGGGCGAGTGTTTATGAGGATTGTGAGTATTTAGAATTGAGGGGGTGCCTTAGGAAAAACTTTAGACACAAATGCATGCGTTGCGGTCTTGGCATAATGGCTGGGTTTGATTGGGATTGTCTTATGTAGTATTAGTGTGTTAAAATTCAGTTTTGCTTGGGGGCAAGCAAAAGTCAAGTGTGGGGTATTTTGATATTTGCATATTTAGCCATATATTTAGTATAGATTTTTATCAATTATTAGCTAGTTATTTGCATATTATGGACAAAAGGTACTTAATAATGTTTAAATTGTATTTTCAGTCTAGAAGTCATGCTCGGGAGCAAAAAGGAGGAAGGAGATGCAATTAGAAGCTGCAGAATGAAGAAAGGAGTACAAACCTGAAGCTACTCGGCAAGTCCAATCGTCTAATCGACGAGTTTCCACGAAGATTCGTGAAGCAACACGTAAAGTCCTTACCGTACACGGATTCTTCAAGGGTACTCGGCGAGTCGGTTGTCTACTCGACGAGTAGCCCCTGTTTTGAGTTATCTATAAACAGAAGCAATAAATCCGATTGAAGGATCTTTTCTGGCTTTTCTGGAAGATACTTTGCGACTAAGGAAACCCTTGGAGACCGAAAGAACGTGAGAAGAACCCTAATCTCTCATTCTTAGAAGATTCAAGGCAACTTAGGTCTAATTTTCCACTTTATCTTTGAATTGAACAATGTTTGAGTTGATTACTTTCGTTTTTAGCTTTTTGACTACTGTAATCATGAGCTAAATTTACTAGTTTCTGTTTAGGGAAGACAATTTTACTCCTATGGATTGATTTTATGGTTTGATTAATTGTTAATTGGTGATTTTGTTAAATTAAGCTTGTTAAAGATCCTTATGCATTAACCATAACTATTATCTGTTAATAGGAAGGCAATTAGGCTGCATGAACATCTCTTAATTGTTTACCTCATATGATTTATGTGAACACTTTGTTATGTGCCTAGGACTAGTGAATATGAAACTAGGATTAATTAGAGAATGGGTAAATTAATGTGTGAGCTTGTTGATAAACCAACAACAAGAGGTTAATTGAATTAGTAATTTGATTAACCAATTACAAGTCTTATTTAATCCGAATAATTGAACTAGGGAATTAATTAGCTTAAACACTTGATCACTACTTAAATTAATTGATTTTCTAAGGATTGGTAATAGCGAATGCGAATCTAATCACTTTAGTCGGTAACCAATAACAATTAATCTATTACTTTGCCATAAAATTAACCATAGGAGTGAATGAGTTGAACCTAAGCAGAAACCTCTTATTAAATTTGGTGAATTTTTACTTGGTTTTAGTTGATTAGTTAATTGCGTGTTAGTTAGTGTGTCTAAGTTTCTAGTCTTGTAAAACTAGAGAAAACCCTTTTACTTTTATTACTTGTTGGTTAAAATTAGTTATTAGGTTAATTTCCGTTCCTCGAGTTCGACACCTTACTTATTCAACTATACCACTAAAAGACAGGTTCACTGCCTTTGTGTGTTTAAATTATATTTTTAGAGTAGGAATAAAACGAGTTGGTTTTACACACAACAGAGATGTAGATCACTAGTGTAAATAAATGTAAGGTCTGTTTATGCTTATGTTTCAGTATTGAAGATGACATCCCAAAATTTTAATATGAACAAAATACATTTTCTTCAGAAATTCTTTGATAATATATTTATCATGTTTTTCTGGGAACAAATTCCGCAACATGTTTTAAAAGATTACTCTGATTTTATTTCAAAAGCGTAAACTAAATCGGTCTTTTCTGGCTGAGAAAATTGGGGATGTCACACATCACTACATCTTCACTAGTGAAGAGCATGCCACATCATCAATGTAGCCACTTCACCACATGTTCACTAGTTTTGGGGCGGTGTTCACTAGTAAACATGGAGAGAGGGAGAGAGAGAGAGTCAATTCCATACATTTCCGTAATCATCCATGAAGACACCCACTCCACAAGACAACCACGAGGTTTTGAAACGGTATTCATCGGTAGAAACCCCTCCACCTCAGCTTTCACACGTGAAAAAAAAACCCATATCGGAAAGCAAAGAAGACATGTTGTTGCATCGCCGACCAAAATTCATTTGGTAACTTTTTAAAAGATTTGTTTTGTGATTGGCAGATTGCAATAGTAAAAATACTAAGGTAGTGTTTGTTTTTTCTCTGCAGATCTGCGTGGCCTCTTCTGTCTGCGCCGCGCAGACCACGCGCAGACATTAGCCTTCGCAGACTGTTTGGTTTTTTGAAGACTGCAGACCTAAAAACGTCTGCGCGCCCTCTTCTTGGCGCAGATGTGGATCAGAGTCTTCTAAATCTTCGGACATCTTGTAGCCTAAAAAAACATATATATCTTTATTTTTTTAAGTTTTTTTTTTTAATTTATATTTTTTCCAACTTTATTAATGATAAACAATTTGAAAAAAAAATTACAAAACTTAAAAAAAACGTTCGACGATACAAACATGATATTTTTGACAAATTTATAAATAAAGATTTATTACAATAATAGTCGTTGAAATTATTTATATAAATATGAAAAAAAATCATAATATATTATTATATTTTTTTGCCAAATTTTGTAAAACATTATTTAATACAGTATCGTCAATTTCTCGAGAAAATATTTATGGTACGTTTTTAATGGATTTAATTGAAAAAATCAAAGTTTATTTCCATCCATTTATATCAAATTTTTTGATCACTAATTATAATGTTTAGTTATAACTTTGCAACCAAAGTTGTTGGTTTTATCAAATATATACGTTAATTCATACCATTTTTATTTTTATTTTTTATACAATAATACATTAAAGTTGATATAGATTCGTTAATTATTTATAACAAAGTCATAAAAATATTAAAAAAAATCACTTTGAAGTTAAAAAAAAATCAGTTTATTTAGATTTCAGTTTTTTTTAGTAGCCCGCAGATGTTAAAAAAACAAACAGTCTTCTTTTTTCAGACCGCAGACGTTTGGTCCACCTCTTCTACTGCAGAGGTCTACAGATGTGGTCCGCAGACTGTAGACATTTTGCCTCAGAAAAAACAAACAACACCTAAAACTTGCTCCAACACTTATAAAATTTGCTTTCGTTAAATGGTTTGTGAAATAGGAGTATAATGTTAAAACAATTTAATAGTAATAGTGTTGTATTATTCTTTGCGTACGGATGGGTGTATTTGGTTATTGTGCAGCAAACCAGTTAAATCCAATAAGTATTAATGGAGTAGGTTCAAGGTTGGTGGCCGAGCCCACAATTAAACAGCGTCTCTGTAATCTCTCCATCTTCAAAACACAATCTCTGAAAAAGCCTGCTGCCTCCTACAACCCTCTCTCTCATCCACCTTCCGCCTCCATAAAACCCCACTTCCACCCTCACAATCTCACCAGACAAAACCAACATCTTCCCACTTCAACTATAACCTCTCTTTCCAAACAAAAAAGCATTCACAAATGCCATCTGATTCCTGCGATCACCGGCGAACTACCATCGCAAAGACGCACAACGTCGGTGGTTGTGGTGGTGCTGCTGGTGCAGGTGCACCGCCGCCTGAACCCGAACACCTTCCGTGTCCACGTTGCGATTCTACCAACACTAAATTCTGTTACTACAACAACTACAACTTCTCTCAGCCGCGTCATTTCTGCAAAGGATGTCGCCGTTACTGGACTCACGGTGGCACTCTTCGCGATATCCCCATCGGCGGTGGAAGCCGGAAGAATGCTAAACGTTCTCGTGTCACCACCAACGCTCATGGCAACTCTAGTATTTCGCATTCTTTGGAATTCCGTCATATGGCTCCGCCGACTGGTACCCCGATCTTGATTCCGTTTGCCGGTGAGCACGGCGGAGGATTGCATTTTCTCGGCGAAGGGAAGTCCGGGATGAGTATGTGTGAGAGTTTTACGTCGTTGTTGAATAATACACATGGGCCTGGTTTCTTTGGAGTCGGAGGATTTGAAGATGGGAGCTTTGGTTTTGGAAGGTCGATTTGGCCGTTTGCCGGAATCGGAGACGGTGGTTCTGTTCAGTATGCGGCGGGTGGTGGTGGCGGCGGAGGGAGTATGATCGGCGGTGGGCATACGTGGCAGGTGGAGAGTGGAGATGGTGGAGATTGTTTTACTTTGCCGGATCTTGCTATTTCTACACCTGGAATGATATGAAAATGAAAGTTGAATTTAGAAGTGATAGTGTAGGATTGTTAATGTGTTACCATCTGTATTAGATTAATTCCTGTTCGGTTTTAGTACGAGAAAACAAACAACCTTTTAAAGTGTGTCTTCTAAATTCTAATACCAACCGTCAGAATTTTTTTTTTTTATTTCCATTCGAGAAATCTTAACTTCTTCTTCTTCTTTTTTATCAAAGCAAATTTAAGTTAAAGAACTTATTGGAATTAAATGTTATAATTTTTGTATAATCTAGGAGTTAGAAAAAAAATTATATTAAATTCTTATCCAGTTTCTGTGAAAGACAAGGATCGAGGCAGTTAAGTTCCATCAGGTTGATGCTGTCTTCGCTGCTATGCCGCCAACAGGGTCCCTATATGCTATTGGAATATAATAAAGGTGTTCTAATATTATATGGAAACACACAAAACTCACTACGTTTTTACTGAGTAAAAGTAAAAGAAAATTTCGACCGGAATTAGGTTCAGTTTGATTTTCTGAAGCAAAAATTCATAAAGTATGCGGACCACCTCTGCAACTCTCTGCAGTAGAAGAGGTGGACCAAACGGCTGCAGAGTATAATAAGAAGCATGTTTGTTTTTTTAACATTTGTATACTGCTGCAGATATTAAAAAATTAAAATAAACTAATTGTATAAACCGAAAATAGTTTTTTAATACGTAAAATTTAATAACGTATAACATTTCGGCAACAATTAATGATATTTCAGTAAAAAATAATGATATTTTAACAAAAAATAAAGATATTTTAGTAAAAAATAATGATATTTCATTAATAAATTATCATTATTGAATATAAAAAAACGAAAAAAAATTCAACAAGAATAAACAAAAAAAAAGGGTGAAATAAAATTTTAACAACATATAATCAAAATTACAACAAGAAAAAAAGAAGAAGAAGAGGTTAGAAGAGGCGGTACAAGTGTTGCACCAAATAGAGCACGCGCAGAGGTTTTTGACTCCGAAGACTTCTAAAAAAACAAACAGCCGCGGGATGAAAAATGTTGCGCTTGCGCTGCGACGCACAGCAATAAGAGATTTGAAGAGGTTTTTTCCAAAAAACAAACAGCACCTTAGTATCTTTATTTTAATATAAGATGTAATTTGGTTATTTTGGTATTTTAAAATCAAAAAATTTGGGATTCAGTGTTTGGTTATTTGAGAATATTGAGTCGGTATTACATTTTACCTGATTTTGTTTCATTAAATCAAATGGTATTACAGATTTCATTTTTTTGTTTATGGCAAAAAATTAAACAATCAGATCTCTTGAAAAATTGAGAAAATTATAAAAGAAAGCGAAGGTTCTTTTGTTGTTGATATTAAGTTGTAACTTTAAAAGGTTAGATCCTATTTGCAAGGTAACAAACGTATGAAAAAAACAAGAATATGTAAATGATTGATTTTTTTAGTATCTAGAACAAATAAAATTAATGTTATATCTTCTGATGTCGGGTATAAGATTAATGTGATGAGTAAAGAGTCAAATATTTTGTTGTAGCAAAGTTTAAGTCTCATGCCTTGCGATAGTGTCATGAAACTAAAAGAAACATGAATGCTTGAATGCTAAACTGATTGTCATGGGAGGAGTTCTTAGGAAGATTTAAAGAATGTTTTATTGGTCAATTGAAGAAGATTTTATTGGACTCAAGAAAGGAAATATAACCATGAATGAGTATAACAAAAAGTTCAATAAACTCTAAAGTTTTATAAGAAGATTACCACCCGATGAATATGCAAAGGTCAGTCAATCCGTTGAGGGATTGCCATAGAATTTTTAACTCTTAATGAATGAAGTGAAAACACTTGATCAAGCCGTGAGGAAAGCAAGCAAATTTAAGAAAACACTCACAATGTCAAGATAAGGAAAAGCAAGTAGGAAAAGGTGGCAACTACAAAAGTACAAGTGAAATGCAAAGGAAATGTTGTTTTGATAAAAAAAAAATATATTCGAAGAACGCAAGCAAGAGTTGGGATGACCAAGCTAAACAAAAAGGGGATGTTACTTGTTTTAGATGTGGATAAAAAGGACACTTTGCCGATGCTTTTTCTATCATGTTAACAAGGAGTTACTAAAAATGAGGTATTAGGTTCTATTTCAGACATATACTAAACCACCGTTCTAAAAAAAGTATTACATATGTAATGATGAATGAGATTTTGCAGTAAGTTGTCCAACCAATAAAAAAACCAAAAAAGATGAAGAAACCAAGAAGGATGACACCCCCACGAGGAAAAGGGTGATGCTTTCAAATGACGTAAGTCGAGGTTTATGAGACTATTGATGTTGTCTCAAGTACTTTTCTAGTAAGCTCCATACTCACATCACTTTTGTTTGATTCAGATGCCATGTATTCCTATATTTCACATGAGGTTGGCACGAAGTTAGATGTACCTTTGAAAGCATTAAATGTATGATTTATTGTAGAAATAATCGATGACAATGCAATTAGTATTACTAAAGAGTATCCTAATATTGTAAGAGTTTAACAAAGTGAAGTTCAATGCTAATGTAATTCCCATACAACTTGGTGGCTTTGATATCATCTTGGGAATGGATTAGCTAGTCACGTATACATGAAAAATTGTGTATGGGACTGATAGTCTTGTGATGGTGAACCTCATATTACTTACGAGGATAAAAGAATAGTTGCATCAATTATTATCAGTGTCCTTAAAGTAAGGAAAATGTATTGCTAAGAAATGTCATTCATACTTAACTATAAGTGTATGAAAGTTGCAGTGAAAATTGATCTTTTATATATCATCTGATATATGTATTTATAAGAAGGACAAGTATGACTTGTTCTAATGACTACTTTTACAAACACATGTTAATTTAGTATATCCGTTATTACCCCCCGACAAGATCAAAGGCAGGTCTGACTTGAAGCTTATCACGAAGATGAGTTATGCGATCTTTGGGCAGTGGTTTTGTGAAGATGTCAGCCAGTTGGTCAGCTGCATGCACTTGGCCGATGTGAAGAGTACCAGAGTCCACTTGTTCCCGAACAAAATGGAAATCTAAGGCGATATGCTTTGAACGAGTACTGATGACTGATTTTTACACATGAAGGTGGCACCAACATTGTCGCAAAGTATAATTGGAGGTTTTAGTACAACGACATGAAGATCTCGAAGGAGTTGTTTAATCAAAAGGAGTTCGGCTGTTGTGTAGGCGATCACTCTGTATTCAGCTTCAGTGCTGGATCGAGCTACTACTCGTTGCTTGCGTGATGTCCAACTGATCAAGTTTGGGCCATGAAAAACAGCAAAACCATATTGGGATCGACTATCATCCGTGTCTGACATCCATCCAGAATCTGAGTATGCAAATAGTGAAGATGCTTGATGAGATTTAAAATGGAGACAGTGATGTAATGTTCCATTGAGATAGCGAAGTATTCGTTTCACAGCTTGCCAATGAAGGGTGGTGGGTGCATGCATGAATTGGCAGACACGGTTGACTGCATAAGCAATATCAGGGCCTGTGATGGTTGCATATTGAAGGGAACCAACTGTTTGTCTGTATAAATTTGGATCAGGAAAGGGTTCACCAGAAAGAGTAAGACGAGTGGATGGGTCGGCTGGTGTGGTGATGGGTTTCGATTGAAGCATGTTGCATTTGGTGAGAAGATCCTTGATATACTTGGCTTGGGAAAGAGTGAGACCTGTGGTTGTTGTTGTGATTTGGACACCTAGAAAATAATTGAGTTTTCTTAGATCTTTGAGAGCAAAGGACTGATGTAAGTTGTTGATGGTGGTTTGGATGAGTGTTGAATTATTACCAGTAACGATCAAATCGTCCCCATAAACTAGGATGTAAATGGTGTTATTAGTGGAGATGTACACAAATAGAGAGGTATCTGACTGGCAAGCTCTAAAGCCATGAGTAACAAGATGTTGTTTGAGTTGATTAAACCACGCGCGGGGAGCTTGTTTTAAGCCATAAATTGCTTTGTGAAGTTTACACACAGATTGAGGGTGAGATGAATCTTTGAAGCCACGAGGTTGTTCCATGTAAACGTCTTCCGTTAGCACACCATTTAGGAATGCATTGTTGATGTCCAGTTGCCGAATGGTCCATCCTCTAGATAATGCCACTGATATTACTAAGCGAATTGTTGTTGGTTTGATGACGGGATGTGACAACCCGAACCTTTTTCAGTCAACGAAAGTCAAATCCCGTTAAATAAAATTTCGAATTTTATTCATTTGGTCAAACTTGTAAGGGTTGAAAACAACTTAGATTATATAATTAAATTTATATAAGTGTCGGGTCTAAAATCGTTCGAAAAATCAAGTTTTTCTTCGAAAATCAGCCAAGTCTCGAGCAACCCGGTGTTTACAGCCGCAATCGTTTTCACGGCCATAAACCGTTCACGGCCGTAAACCGTGCACGGCTGGGTGGACCCCACCACCGACCATGAACCCAGCCTATATATACGTGTTTCACCCTTATTTCTACTTTGCTGGCCGAAAACACTACTTTCTCTCTCTAAAAACCACCAATCGAAAACTCATTCTATCCTCCGAAAATCACCCAAATCCACCTTGGAACTCGTTTTGGAGCATCAAGCATTCATCCTTTCATCGAATCAAGCACCCTTCATTTTGGGTTCACGGCCGTAAAGCCTTCAAATCTTCAAATCTTCAAAGGCCGAAATCAGTTCACGACCGTAAACCATTCAAGGGTCGTAAACCCTTCAAGGGCAGAGAACCGTTCACGGCCGAGAACAATTCACGACCGAAAACCCTTCACGGCCGCAATCATCCCCAATCAGAATCTTGACTGAAAACCCACTTATCTCACTTCGATCGAGTCTCGGTACCATTCCTTAACCAAAAGCAAGTGTTTTCTAACACTTTATCTAATGGGTTCACTAATTTAAATGCAAATATGTGTTTAATTATTATTAGGATTCCGTTAATTTCGCGTGCAACAACTCGAGGGTCCTCATTCCAGTCTCGTTG